TCTCTTGCATGAGTAACGAAATACGTGTCAAAGCCAATGTTTAAATATTGACCTGGACATTTGGATATCTCATTGAGATGGGTGTGAATGGTCCTATCTCAGAGTTATTTTTCCTTGTTTACTGCAGATTTGCTCAGGAATCTGCAGAGATTGCAGTCACTTGACCTTACGATTTCTACAGCTGCACTAGGCACACATTTTTTCTCCCTCAACGCTATCAGAGTATAAACACTACTGCATTTAATCTGGGCCTGATTTTTAGCGTTTCCTTCTTCACCTCGATCTGTGGGTGGGAGTGCTAGTGGTGATATGCTAGACTTCCTTTGTGGGCAGCAGCAGCTGACGGTTTTGAGCACATTTCAAGAAAGTAACAGTATCTTAGAGAATTAGATGGGGGAGTCACACCATTCTTATTTCCTTCTCTGTGAGATTTTGGAACAATAGATTATTTACTATTGGGTCAGTGGATTCAATCCCAAGTATAAGATAAGTAAGAACTGCTTTTTTACTGCTTTTCTTTTATGAGCAAGGGGTAGGTGGGTCCCTGGAAAGGCCCATCCTATGAGAAAGAACTCCAGGAGCTGTGGATTCAGGCATTACACTCGCTGGAACTAACACTTTATTTTCATTAATAGATCAAGTCTTCATTTGCATAATTGTGGATTTTTTTTTAGAGCCAGAAGGAGATTAAAAATTGTTCATTCTTTTAAAAATAAATTTCTACACAACTCTACTAGAGAGATCAGTATCTTAGAAATGTCAGTGTCTATAGGTCCATCTACATTAGCACTTCAATTCAGATCAGAAGTGCACTTTTGAAGTGAATCTCCTGATCCTACACTCACCTACCATGTTATGGTTGACATCCTGGAGTGGTCTTGGAGGACATGAGCTGGATTCTTCTCAGATGAAACTAAAACAGAAGACACATTATAGGATCACACCCCCACGAATGTACATTCAATCCAGAGGGGCAGACTAGATCTGGTCCAGAAAACCTCCTGTGAAAGATGCAAACATCTGATGCCAGAACATAATCATATTGCAAACGTTGTAGAAATGCAGCTTCTTCGTATGGTACAGACATTGGATCTTCAGCACCAACTGCTTTGCTCTACAAATCACTCTTACTGATTGACATTACTTGCTAATATAAACAGTCTATAGCACATGGAGAAGACAGGGTCAAATTACTAAGATCTGCTATGTTTAAATGACTGAGAGGAGAAAGGAAAACTAGATTAGAAAGAGTCCTGGCCTTCAGGGTACTGAGAAAAACCAAAACCACCATGTTCTGAAGTGCAAAATTATCAGCCTTCACTCTTCGTCTGCCACTAAACTTGATGAAACGGCCTGTTAAGACCATTTCTGTCGCTTCAGTGGAGATGCTTGTTTGTGGTTACAGCCACCTGTGTCTCTGCTGTGAGAGTCATACCAAAACCATTTAAAGGAAGGAAGACAGAGGGAACACTGCTACTTCTAGAACAGGAATTCTAGTAACAGAGATCAGAAAAAAATGCTTCAATTAAATTTGACTGACTGTTTCTCCAGATGAGGTATCCTACAAAAACCAGCCCAGAAAGCTCAACACTAAATGTATTTAGCTGAGAAATAATTACACTTACATGACGAAATTATTGGTATATTCCTCTTCAATAGTCTATTTTTGGTATTGTAATTTTAAATTCTTTTGTATCCAAATTCATAAGAACAAGTCAGTATATTAAGCCTTTTTTAAACACTTAGGATATTGGTTTGCATATAAACATAGACATCCAGTTCCTTCACTATTTATTCTCAATTTCGAATGTTTGCAAAATTGCAGCTTGTTTTACTGCATTTTGAAGTAGCTGCAGCTGTGTAATTCAAATATACAGCACAGTAGAAAAAGGTACCTTTAAAATCTTTCATTAAATTTAAACATTTTATACATCTTCTTTCAAGCTTTCCAATTCTTCTTAGAAAACCCACGTGCCAGATCCTCAGGTACAATAATGCAGTGTGTTTAATGCCTTCAGTAAAACCAGCTAGATTTACACTAGCTGTGAATCTAAACTATTAGTACCTACTGCTATGCTATGACCAACTACTTATTTTCCATGCAAATGTCTGAGGCCAGAACAGAATTATGTGATAATCGGTGTAGCAATAGAACTTCTGCATACTGAATGCTAGTTTGCAGCAGTTGCTCAGAATATATTTAGCGTGGATAAGGTTTAACAAAGATGAAATACCACTGACACAGCCTAGTGGTTTACACATATAGTGATCTGATGAAACTGTTAAAAAAGCGGAAGTTCAGGCTTCAAATCTATATTGGTGAGCAGGCAATTATGGTAAAAAGACTTTTAAAAACACACAGGCAAGGTAAAGACTAGCGAGATCAGCTTCCTGGCAACAAAAGTAAACTATAGGTTTTTTGGATCACTGGAATGTGTGCTAACTGGGAAGAAATGCAAAGAAAACCTCAGATGTGAGATACCCTCTCTTACCGCATTCCTATTATATCCAGATATACCCAGTTTCCTGCTTCTTTCCTCACAGACAGATGAAACAGCCACAGCAAGAGCATTTACGCATATTTAGCAACACTTCCAGAACTCCAGGAGAAGACTCCCATGTTCTAACCTAATGATGCTACTTAGCTGTTCACTGCTTCTCCCAGGCTCAGCATCCAACAGCCGATGGGGTGACTGGGCATGTGACATCCCTCCCCTAACACAGAAAACCCCTTTGTCTGAGGCTATTCATTCTGGTAACCGTTCCCAGTCAGCCAGATAGGTGTCAGTCAAAGTAATTCCTCTCAACACAAAGCCAATCTGTCTATGGTTTCGGGGTTTGAGCCAATTTAATATAATTTATTAGAGTTGAAAGGAACCTTTGCCTCCGTGACAATGGGTGAGACAGTTTTGTAATGATTCTCATTTAATTGATGAATGTAGACTTGGCACTTGACAATTAACCAGCTGCATTAAGACACTAGGGGTGACATCCCAAAAGGATTTCACAAGCGCCTTCATGAGTCTGAGGTTTAACTTCCTGCAGCAAGTCCGTTTGCAACCTTTTTCGGTTGGTCAAAACTGGAGCTGCTTGGCTGCGTCTCACAGACACCCAACAGAAACCCACCATTGTATGAAAAACAATCACTAGTAGGCCCCAGGTCCCATGTCTACTTTCAGTGCAAGGCTATTTGTGACCAAAATATACACCCCAATGACAATACTGTAATTATAGGTAGTCCCATGCTAATTAGACCTTTGGCAATTTAACTAGCACTTATGCACAAGGGAGGAACATTTAAGCATGCATCAACCGTAAAAAGCCTACAAAAAATTAAACATTCTTTGCAAGGCTGTTCTGAAGGAGAAATGTTACTCGCCGGAAACATTTTCCTTTCCTATGTATTTTCCTAGCACTGAAACTTAACTTGTTTTTATATTTTGTCCTTTATGGTTGTCTGATCTACGACCCCACTTTGATTAGCTTTTCAGTATTAATTAATACACATTTTCAGCCCTTCTAATCACATGGCTCAACGGTGGTGTTTCACAGAGTTGTAGATTTAAAGTCCAGGGTGCATCATTACAGGCTCCTGCAAAACTGCCCACAATTTTAGCCGTTATTTACCCTGGGAATGCCTGCTGACCACCTAACTGCTGCTTGAACAACAGTCATTTTTTAAGATGGAAATCTGATCCTAATCTAAAGGTTTAAAGTGAGGGAGAACCTAGCCTAACATGTCATAAGCTGTTTCACTAGTCAAGAGCTGCATTTTGTTTTTAGCCTGAACTTATGCAACCCCAGCTTCCGTCTCTTGAATTGTTGTTAGGACTTTGTTTTCCGCACTGTGCTATTATAGACTGTGACAATCACTCCAGAATCTCCTCATTTATAAGCTAATTACATTTTTAAATGGATATTTTTATGTCTCTCATCAAAAACAAAGTCTTGGAGAAGGGCATTGGTCCTCTTACTTGAGCCTCTGCTTGAGCAGCTCTTGACCTGCCGTGGAGTTGTTCCTTGCCAGCAGGGTCCCCTCCTCACCACGACAAAGTCTTGTGAGGTCAGGCTGACTGGCGCTGCTCTCCCACTGCCGGCTCCAGCCATCACGCCGCATCAGCAACGACAGTGCCAGCTGCTGCTTCAGCTTTTCCCCAACCTTCCTGAAGAGCAATCTTTGAAACCTCGATATTATGCAAGTAATGGACCCATCGCTACCGTATTTCTTCTGCTTCAAGGCTCCCATCAGTCCCCCAGCCGAAGTGCAGCACTGGGAGCTCGTGCTCGCTGGTGACCCAGGAGGCTGCCTAAACCCTTTGCGGAGCTCTTGTTCTCCCCATCAGTCCCCATTTTAGGCAGCCTACAGTAACTTGGATGTTTCTATTTTTTTAAATTATTGACTGATGGATGAATCGTCATTTTATCACACTAGTCCTAGGGTTTATAATTCAATAGCAATTGCTCTGAGAGCTACTCCACGCAATATTTGTAAGTTTAATCACTGAGTGTTTGTCCTTGCCCTCTCTGCTGTTGACTGCTCTGTTCAAAAGGGTTCTAATATTCTTTTTAAAAGTAATGTTTAAATTATTTTTGATGTACTTCAGATTTGCTTTACTATCTTTCCTCCTTTTCCCTACCCTTCTCTCTGTCTGCAGCCTACGCTTTCTGCCTGCCAGCTAAAAACAGATTTCAGAATTTTAAAAATAGCTATTTAAAAGCAACAAACCAAGGCTGAAGTGAAATACACTGGGGAAGAAATGTTTCGGGGAAGCTCAGTAAGTATGAATACGCCAGGGCTTTCCTGCAGGGTTTTTATGGTGTCTTTGTGTATTGCAGTTGCACAAACCTGAACTTACACACTTTTCAACAGCTGAACCATTGCCTTGAGAAGTTTATCTTTTACATGAATATAGCTAATTGCAGATTTACTTTGTGAAGAGAAATTCCAGATATAAGTTAATCTAAACGAAGCTGTACTACACATTCTTCTATTTCCATGAAATCTGACTCTACCATCGTGGTACAATAATAATTTACTATAAAATCTCCTTAGGTGAAATTGCTACAACCTGAATTCTCAGGCAACTGAATTAAAATGTTTAGCCATAGAATTCTGTATCGCCTGCAGTGAGAGTTTTCAGGCTGAATCTGGATTTAGATGTCTCCACTTGAGCAAACAGACTCAACAGATTTTGCCCCACGGTATTTAATGAAACAGAAAATGTCATGAGGCTTTTCCTTTTGAAATAATCAGTTGAGGAAAGACTAGTGAAGATATATTTACGTTCAGAGTGTCCCCTGTAGTGAGGTTAGAGCGTATTTTCAGTATATACATCACGATTAACTCAGTTTCTGTTGTAGCATTGCAGTCCTCTCTAAAATGTATAGCCACTGACCTATTTTTCAGGTGGCTTGGTGAAAGCCACTCCAAATCCTTCTGGCATAGAGCACCATAACATCGTAATGTTTTACTAGAATATAGCATCTTCCTGAAACAGGAAATAGTACAAAGGTAAGTCACAAAACTGAATTTGGAATCTTAGTGTTGGAAGAATGATGGTCATTTTTGCAACAAGAACATACAAATAGCAAGCTGACATTGAAGGTTCCTGCTAAAATTCCCCACAGCAATGTGCCTCAAAGGGCAGGCTGTGTCCCCAGAGATCTTACAGTCTTTAAATGTCTTTGTTCTCCTTTTTATAAGAAAGTTACTGGAAGAGTTTGCCTGGGTTTTTTTGCATGCAAAATGGTAGCTTTATTGAAAAACAGGCTTACGTTTATGTCGAACTATGCCAGCTACATGCTATACAATAGAATCTATCCCAGCTGAAATACTCGTTCTCGCGCTTAAAATAACACGAGGTATCTTCATAATTCTTACTCACCGCTAACACAGTTTCTCAGGGAAAGTAAAGTTGGAATATTTATCAGGCCGAGAATAAGGCAGGGGAAGCCTAAGACAAACCTATTCTGCACCTTCCACTCGTGTTAGCATCAGTACTCCTGGAGCCATGCGTATGGTGAACTAAGGCTAGCAAATGCAGTCGGACAAACAAACGCTTGGACACACGCCATTTCCATCCTAAAACAAAGATGAAAGAATACCCAAGTCTGATCTCAGTAGACAGAAAAGCGTGAGCTTATACAGACTGAATCTTTAATCTTTATTTTGAACACAAGGAAGACGTCTCATAAATTAAAACCAACCAGATTACTATCTTAAGCTCTTTAAGCTTTTGAATTTACAGTCTTGGCCTTAATGAAAATTGAAGCAACGTTTTCTGTAGCTACATTATGAACTCCTGAAATACGTTATTTTATAGCAGAAGTTCTGACAGACACTATATTCGCTGTGTCACTAGTACTCTAATGGCAAAATGATCTGTTGCGCTGCTTTAGTCCTTTTGAGAATCTCCTGAGGTCATTAGAGAACATGTTTCTGCTTTTCTGCGCCGGCTGCAAGGAAGGCTGTCCTAGAAAGGAGGGCACGTACATAACACCCAGGCAGTTCAAAATCCACATTGATTTCTCTTGTCCAGTAATTACACTGATATCTCTGTGGCATGGTTACGCAGCATAGCCAGCGGGGAAGGGCAGAAAAAGGAACTGGGGAAAGGAAAAAGGACACAAGTCAGAAAATTAACCACTATGCTGTAGTGTGAAGGATCTGTGGTGAACTGCATGATTTCTCCATCAGCTTATTCAGATCCAATTCAAGGAACTGAGAATAATATCTGAAGTACTCTGTATTTTTATCACTACTGGTAGGTCAAAAAGTGATTGCGCCAGCGCAGCACTGGATGAGGGAGCTGGCTGAGCACACGAGTATTTCTCCACTGCTCTGGGTTGCGGCTCCGATAAGGCTCTCCAGCCGCTGCCGAGTGGACAGGCTCCGTCTGCGTGTCCCCGTTGCTGGTGCTGGCCCCCAGCCTGGGCCGAGGCTAGGCAGGTGCCACCCAGATCACCAGATTTCATGACCGCAGAGAATTTTCCCTCTATTACCCCCCCACGTCAGCTGGAGACAGGGGGGAGGCTTTTAGCAGTGCCCAGACACCCACCGCAGTGGGGAGGCTGAGGGAGCAAAGCGGGGAATGGACTCTGCAACCTAAAGCTTGTAAAATCTGGAACGTAACAAGGTCCCAAAGATAGCAACAAAAGGATATTGCAGGATGGTTCCAGCCAATATGGGGCAACTGACCACTCTCACCTACCCCTTGGAAGTGAGTTAGCGCTTCCAATCAAGCAATTAATTCTGCTTATTTTCTTCTATACTTGTCTGCTTAAGAAAAAACAGCAACAGATACCCTTATAAGTGAGGGCTGCAAAGTAAATATAGGGTAGTATATCTGCCAGCAGTTTAAATGGACTTCAGAAAATTGAGGATTAAATATCTTTCCTGTCATTAACACTGTATTAAATCAAAAGCTTTACTCTCCCTGAATTTGAAATAGATCTGGCTATATGACTGAATAGATATCCTTTGAAATAGAAAGGCCTTTTTACAAAAAAGGAAATATTCCGTGAGTTTGCCAGGGGCGTGTTTCCTTCTACAACATTTGAAAAAGGTGGTAAAAGAAAGTGGAGAATCTTTCATCTGACTTATTTTAAAATACATGTATCAAATTTTTGCATTTCAAATAATGACTTGTTTTAATTTTATTCAGTCTGTAATTTTTCCCTGTGTAATGGATTTTGTTTGCTTCTCATTTTAAATACATCCCTGTCTTGAGGCACCTGAAGCATGCATTTAGCTCAAAATTAATTTCTGCAGTTTAATTATGATGGCTGTATTAAAAATGAACCTCAAGGTTATTTGCAAAATCCTTTTTTCTTACTTGTAAGATACCAACAGAGAGGGGAGATATACATAGCCATAGAAGTCGTTCTTGAGGTTTAAAATATATTTGTTCATTTTTTCAGGTCTTCCAGGCTTCTCTTCTGATTGCATGACAACGCAAGTGTCATCTCTAGAAGCTTGAAAGAAAATCTACTGAAGTAAAAGTTGAAAGGCATGTAGGAGAGCTAGACTCCCTGTTGTCACAGGTGTGCAATAGGAATGGATCACCTAACCCCTTCGTAGGCTGCTATTTTCAAGGAGCTGAAGCCCCCACGGATGCTTGTGCTACCTGTAACGCCTGTGATAGCGCTCCTTGTAGCACAGAAGCCAAGCAGCCGCTCCTTGAAACGCAGCATTTAGCATGCCATTTCCCTCCGACCCTTTAATTTGACCTGCAGCCTTCTGTTAAGGGAGGTCAGAAAGGCCAACCGCTTTAGGCTGTAATCCTTCCGACTTCTCCCCAAACGCGGTTGGCCGTTGAAAGAATTCAGAAGGTGAAGCGTTTGTCATTCACACTGGGCATTCGCACGGGATTTCTGCCACCTCTCCAGGAGCTGAGCCTTCCCAGTGCCAGAGCCCCCTGCCCAGACCCTGAGAGCGAGCGTGAAGAGGAGAAGGGCACCGCAGCGGCCCGGCCCGTTTGGGCTGAGGGTGGGACACAACCGCCTCATTCAGCAGCTGCTGGTCTGAGAGTAGAGTCATTTTCACCTTGAGAAATGTAATCGACCTCCCGCACCGCCACAGCTGTAACACCCGACAACGACGTTAACGCTTCCCAGACTAGGTTCTTCCTGCCCGCTCTATTTTTCTGGTGTCTTTGTGAGTAATAATTAATCGTTCTTCCCCTGAAGGCAAAAAAAATTTTTCTAGCCTTCACAAGAGTCAACCCTTTCTCTCCGTGTGTGACAGAATGGCAATACTACTGATTTTCCTTTCAATAATTTTTCTTTCTTTTTTGGCAAAAAGCTATTTTTGAGCATTAATGGCCACAATATGTTCAGGTTCATTACACATGGCAGGTGGGCTATTAATTGAAATGTGCATTAGTGAATTTGGAAAATCTTTTTTACTCAGTTCCTCAGGCAGGTTTTGATTTGCTTCCAAGTGCTCGCTCTGTGCTCCGGCTAAACATTTGTAACGGGCTCCTCTATAGCAACAGTTTGGATTTCTGTTTTTTGTTGTTTTTTTTTTTTTGGGGGGGGGGGTTACTGTGTCTTTAATGACTATTGCAGCTGCTTTACACATGATTCAGTAGCATCTCTGTTCGTATTTAACAATAGGAAACTGGCCCTTTAACTCACCAGTCAGGAATATATCTTGAACTTGCGGCAGCAAACTGAAGTTATGTAGTTATCACATTTTTGATACAAAAGTGGGAAGTCAGATAGACTAAGCAATTTGTGGATTCAAGCATGATGCTTGTAGCTGTCGTTAGACATCAGTCTGCCACCCTAGTAATTAGATTCAAATAGGTTTTGGTAAAATTCAGTTGCTGTACTGTTTCTCCTAGAAAATATACACTATGTTCTTACATGTTCTTGAATAGCAGTTTAAAAATTATTGATGGAGAATAATTGATGGCATTGATGGAGTAGTCTTAAAGATTTTATTTAAGGTAATTAGGCAAAGCAAAACTTCAAAAAAAATTAAAAATAGTCTGTAACTGAGCATAGATTGCCATTATTTTTACTAGCAATTGATTTTCTGATTGAATAATTCAGATATAGATTCCTCAAACTCCTGAAACAACTGATTTTGACATGATTTTCTAAATCAAAATATTTTCAGAATCAGTTATAGCCATGAGTTTTAATTTAGCATTTTCTTTCTCTTTCCTAACCATCATTTACAATCATTGTTGTAGATGAATCATTCGTACAACTCCTCCAGGTCTCTATCAACATACTACAACTCTGAAATAGGAAGTCACTTTAAGGGTGCAAGTGTATCTTTTTGTGCCATTCATGCCATTCCCAGAGCCAAAAATAAGTAAAGTGGTAAAAATAACAGTCTTTGCCAATAATGAATCAAGGTATAAAGAACAATCAATTGCCCCTGAATAGCAATATTGAAGCACTGTCAGCTAAAATACTGCCATGTGCACCTGCTCACTCTGTCTAAAAATAAACCTCTGGATGGTGTCGCCACAACTGATGAGCCTAAAAATCTCACGTCTCTTGAGAATAGGATTCCTGTGTGGAAATCTGTCTTTGTGGAATAGTGCTGGGCATACACGCTGTAGCCCTCGCTCCGATCTCTTGCAGCTGTGTTGCTGCAGAGTAATTACAGTGGAGTCAAGGCACTGAGGCACTTACAGCCTGCCCAAGCGAGTGAGAAGTCACGGATGGGCTTTCAGAGCTCACCCTGCAGACGGGGAAAACTCTGCTGATTTGCTAAGCCTAATCTTGGGCCCAGGCACTGCTTGGCAGCTACTTTGTTCTTTTCCTTGTGTAACCACTGAAGGAAAGCAAAATCTTTCACGAAATGGGCTGTCCCGATGCTAGCATCAACAAGGAATTACTTCCTTGGTTTAATAAATTTCTCTTCTTTGGAGAAAATCCAATGATTTCGTCTAGCAAATTGCTTACTTACCTGCAAAGCGTCAGCATTAACCAGGACACAGAACTAACAGTGACTGTTTCAGGTAAATTGGCCATGTTAGGAGCCATTTCTTTGACAGACCTATTTTACGCACCTCAAGCTTAATGCTATTTGTCATTGATTTCAGAGATGCAGCGTGTAGTCATCCAGGCTTTCACAGAATTTTGGGGTTGTAAGAAAGTTCTGTTAGATTATTTGATCCGTACCATGGCCCATGGCAGTTTCCAAGTGATGTACTCCTTGAATGGAAGCAATGCTTTCCTAGCACCCCGCCCCCCCGCTTCAAAGTCCTCTTTGTATCCGTAATGGCTTGTTTTCCAGAGATGATGATACCCTCAGGTTCCGTGGCTCCTAAAGGAACTGGGGCTGCTCAGACCTTTTGAAAACCAGGCCAAGGATGTACATGTAGAGGGGCTATTTTTATCTTCGTAGGTAGGTCAGGGTAGGTTCATAATATGCTCTGTTTAGTAATTACAAAGTCCACATCAGTCAGAGAGGGAGGATGAGAAGCTAGGATTGAGGCAGGACCAGTGTGAAGAAAGAAATACTCATTAGCCTATTCCAGAAATTTTTCATAGAAGTGAATATAGCCATGGGCTGGAAGTAGCTCTAATGTAGATGGTGGAGAGCGGACCTGAGCAAAGAGGAGCCTCTCCCCTGTCTTAAGACATTATATCACATGAAGTAGCACTGATAAGGGGCACTGGAAGGGCTCCTTTACAATCACACTACTTCATCTGTGATAGCTACCCACAGGAAATTCACACGTGTAGTTTAAAGTTGCATCCCCTTTACAATAGATTTGCTTATACTATACGCATATAATGTGGGTATATTAGGGGGTATATCTCAATGTATCTTCGGAAGATATTTCAGTTATGGAAACAAACAGCAGAACCCTGCAAGCTGAGAACTCAAGAGTTTTCCCTGTTTACTTACTGAAACTTCTTTAATGAGTATTTCCACACGAATAAGAGATGTGGAATTAGGACCATGCTAAATTACATAAATAGGAATATTAATTATATTAATTAGGGGTTGCAGCCAACTGCAGAGCAACTTGCTCCTAAAGAGCTTCAGTGTGCTCTTGGGTTAATTCTTGCAAAATGTCCCCTAATGCTGCATCTGTGAGCCACTAAGCATATCTAATGGCTTACTCTTGCCATAAGGGGGAAGTCTTGGTCCTTCTCCCTTTCTCTTTTCTCAAACCCAGCATCCTACCTTCTCTATAGTGCTGGCTCTGGAGCTGATTTGATTTACTCGTGAGCTGATTCAACTCACTGACCCAGCAGAAAACTAGGCACCTTTTTTTCCTGGGTTATGTTTCTGCTTGGTTAGTGAACAGGCCCGGTAGGTGAAGGGATTCATTCAGTCCCAGATACCAAAGTGCTCGTTGTACTCCTCCTCGTACTGCCCCACTGCTCATTGCCTGCTGGGGGCCACCAAAAAAGTCCACCGTGAGCTGACCTGGGAACTAATTCAACTGAAAACTAACGTCATTACCCAGCCCGCCTACAAGCAGTGGCCCTGTTACGATGCGCGAGAGTGGAAGGGCTCAACAGGTGACAGAGTCAGGCTATTTCAGCTGGTGTAAGCGGAGGAGGTAATACATGTACGACTGCCTCCCACTGCTACTCTCTAAAAATGTGACATGTCAAGGGCAGCGACCTCCATCAGCTGCTACGCCTTTGCTGCAGCTATTATTGTGCTAGCCTGCTGCCAAGCACTGCTAACATCAGCCTTTTGGGCTAAAGGTTAAATCAGGTATTTGAGTTTTCCTGGTTTGTGAATGGAAAAAAAATCAGCGGAAGTGACTCAGGAGGAGGGTGGGTCACTGCTACATACATACATTATTTGTATATTATACACCTATGATTATAATTGTGAAGTTGCATAATATAAGCTGTAACATAGGCTTGCTGTTGTTTCACATATTCTTCCTTTCCTCTTTCCTCACACTATTTTTTACTGGCTTTTTGGCTGCACTTCGGCTCATGCTAAAGTGTAAGGCCCTTGTGGCAGGGACCATGTCATTTCTGCATCAGTGCAATGCCTCGTCTAATGGAGCTCTTACAGCGACAGGGGCCTTTGGGAACACTTGTCACAGAAATGACAAGAGGGAATAGTTTCACTCTTGTGGAGTGCAGAATTAATCACGTCTAAAAGTGCCTAATTTCAGCTAGCCTTTTTGAAGGACTTTATCTTTTCCTCTTGCCCATACAGCTCCTCTTCCCATCCTATCTGCCAGCTACCATTGCCTTTGGACAGTGACTCTTTGCCTCACGCACACAGACACATGGAGGCAGCCCTGCCACACACCTGCCGTGACTCCATGGCCGGTGTTTCTCCTTTGGGAAAGCTGCCTCCATTCCATGGTCCTCTGCACCTCTCCTTTTCCTCCTGCTATTTTCCTGTGTGCTGCAAACAAACAGTATTTAGAGCAAACCACTTTCCTTGATTACTGTTTAAAAGAGAAATGTAACTGTTTTATTCCTGAATACAGAGGAAGACAAATTAAGCCAAATGGGAGCTGGAGTTGGAGGGCAAAGGGGAGGTAGGAGGCGGGACAGAAGGGAAGGAACAGGCAAAGCAGAGCTGCCCTTTGCCTTTGCGAATGTCTTAGGCTTAGTTAATATACATGAGCACAGGTTAAGATGAGCATATAAACTGATACGGTAAGACCCTTTTTATACCTTACATAGGGACTCTTGTTTAACATCAAGTATATGGTTTTTGATTTAGCTTATGTTGCCGGAAGGGTTTAAAACTAATTGAATCCAAATCAACTAAGTTTCTAGAGGGCTGGGGATGTTCGCAGTGGGCTGGAGAAATGTAAAGTTTCTACTGGTTTCAGTATACTGGCATGTCTTATACAACCTTTATGAAGGCTTGAGCAAAGTTGCTTTTTGCTGATGACATCACACTGTGCCAAAACGTACAAGCTGAAGTGACAGAAGTACTTGAACATTGGTTCTCAATCATTCTGGACCTATGCTTCACTGTTAGCCTCCAAAATTTCCTACTAATCACAAGGCATCACTATTGTCACACTTCACACTGAAAATACTACAAACACACAACATGTCTATGATAGCCGACCAGAGCTTCATGGGACCCCACGATTCTTGAGCAGAGTTTGGGAACCACACGCTGGTCTGGCATGATGGAAGACTGAATTAGAACAAAAGCATGTAATGAAGTAGCTTGTTAAAGTCTAGGTGTGTGCAATCTTCATTGCCTGGGACAGCATGAAACCAACACATTTGGATGGGAAAGAAAAATCCATTCAGATACTTGGGTTCATTAAAGAGTCACCATGTGGGATGTGGATGCAGATGTTAATGTTTCACAAAGAGTCCTTGTTACTAATGGAAGGATTTGATGGGAATTCTGGGCAAGAAGGACAGGCAAAGGAAACTAGAGAACGAACTCTAAAAAACCATCATTAGGCCAGCTACAATGAGCTGGGTAGCAGAGTGGCCAGCAAGGAACAGAGAAGAAACATTACACCAGATTGATAAAATGACAATAATCCGTTGGATATTACACGAGCTGACAGACTACCTAATAGAATAATATGCATTTATTTGCAGCAGGCTCTGCTGACAACAGAGATGGGCTAGATTCTGCAAGATTAGACATGGGCCATGTTGCCTAGTGAGCGAAGACCGCTCAGAAAAAAAACAAACAAATTGACAAAAGAACCCAACTGCTGGAAATGCTGAAAGCTGATGGGAAGAAAGGATGAGTTCACACCACTCATTGGATGGATGTGCACGGAGCCAATAAACTGAGCTATAATCTTGCTAAAGCTTAGGTAGGGATGAAAACGATGATGGGAGTGCTGTATCAGGTTAAAAACAAAACAAAAGAGAAACCACTTCCCTGCATGGGTAAGTCCTCACTCTGTAAGCATCAAACTCAGATTCAGGCTCACACCTTGAGCCAGCCACATACGTAACACATATATTACTGTAAAAGGGAACACAGGGCTTGAATTTATACTCAGGAAAGTTAATAAGAAACTCATTGGGTGCTAGATCAGTCCTTATATGCGAGTGGAAACTTACAGTAATTGTACAATTTCCCTTAAAAAATCCCCAGAGATCTAAGCTAGGCATTTTGCCTTTGCAGCCTTTCCTGCCTCTGCCCTTACAGTACTTTTCACTCAAATACTTCATACTGTGAAATACGGTTATTTCTTCCACTGAAATCCCTTGCTACAACATTAAAATGCCTCCAATAACTATCCTGGGGTCCCTTTTGTCATAATATCCGTCCTTACTGGTCATGTTCACTTCAAGAGGGGAAAGGAGAGAGGGAAAAAAAAAAAAAAAAAAAGGAAAGGACGGCTGGATTCCTTCTCTCCTCGTTTTCCAGGTTGGCTGCCGAAACACACTGCAGCTAACCCAGCCCGGCCCGGGAGAGGAGCCCAAGTGCAGGCGCCAGGCACCGCAGCCAGCCGCTCTTCGCCCCCAGCAGGTCGCCGGGCCACAGCCGGCAGCGTGCGCGCGCCCGGGC